AACACGTCGTCCAGAGCAGGAAACATCCAAGGAATAATTAAAAACGTACACATTGTATGTGATATATATATATATATATATATAATATATATGAATAAATGTAAAAATTGTCTTAAATTAAATTAACATTACGTTAAGATTGATTTGGCAGTAGTAGAGATACAAATTATAGTATTCCAAAATTACTATTTTGTTTTGGTCGGTGTTAAGAACATTCTTATTATTAATTTCTACTTTTGTAAAAAAAAATATTTTGTCTTTAGTTTTGCCGAATGAATTCTGAAAATGTTTATAATGATCCAAATGCTATAAGAACAGAAGTAAGTTTTGTTTAGCGCACCGAAAAAATTGACTGCGCGCAAAATGTTTGAAGATTCTGACTTAGCGTTGAAAAGACTTTTGTGATGTAAAGTTGTGACGTAAGCAATACTGTCAACAATAACAAATCCATTAGTGTGGTATGGATCAAAAATATAAGTCCTCAAAGACACTAACCATTAATTTTAAATAATAATAGTGGTATTTAAGCCAATCAAATTTAATAATTTGCGACAGAAAACATTTAAAAACATTTTTGCAATATGATTGAGGAACTTATGTGCTACTGTTTTATACTGTTTAAAGCCTTTTTGTACTGCTTAACTAATTTATTCGCAAGAAATTCTGATAAAGCCATCAGCTCGCCGACTGAGTCGGGCATTTCAAAGGCCGCTTTAAAAAATGTTAAGAATATGACATTCATTGACACCAATCGCCTGATGATGAATCAACCAAGTTCTCTTTTCCGTTTATTAACTTCTAAAAAATACCCCTCTCGTACGTCCCCTTATTTTGTCACAGAGTCAATCGGATTAAATTCTACAACTGCATCATTGTGCAAACACGGTTTGAAGCCGATGTGCTTGATCAACAACTCAAGGAGGAATTTACTATGCCATTTTATTGTTATGGGCCGCAAAGAAAAATCACAGCAAATTCATTTAAATGGTGTTAATAAATATTTACATCAGAACAGATTAAATATTAATTACCGATCTTCAATTAAATCTCTCAGGCACTCGAGAAAAAGTTTTCCTAGCTTTCATACTAGATCTGTTAGCTCAACAGAATGCGTTACTAAAACATCCATATTACAAAACATTGCCATGTTCTTCGTTGCTTTTTACATGGCATCAAAGTTCTTTTTTGTGGTCTTCATTCTTATTTTCCTTTCTGGAAATTAATTTAGACGAAATAAAATAATTCAAATAATGTATAAATAACAACAGTTATTTGATGTGCAAATTGACAAGAAACTAGTACAGCAGAGTTAAATTACACTTCAGCAATTTCATAATTTTTAGCGTTGTTATAATATTGGAAATAAAAAGTTTGTTGGTTGTAAACAATTTTATTTTGAAGGTTCAGGACACGTCAAATCATCAAACTGGATTCCTGTAAAGATTATAATTATTTTCATTATTATCCTTATCAATCCATTGGCTACAATTCAACCAATCACAACTCGCCTCCCACCCTTCCACTGCCATCTGCTGCCTTGTCAGTTTCAACTCCGTCTCCACATCGGTTAAATTTATTTTTCCATCAAAAAGCAAACGAAGGGGAGAAAACCACGCCAACACTATCAACATCATCGTCGTCGTCGTCGTCATCACCACCATCTAACAACACCTCGATGAAATCTCTATCGTACCAGCAGCAACAACAACAAAGCAGCGATGTGCAAAGTAAAGATTATTTTTAACTTTCCATAAATTTTTTAATCATATACAATACAATCAAAACACTTGTGTAAGATGTTTATATATTCAATCATTCATTCATTCATTAGTCTGTCGTATCATTCATTCTTTTATTCGTTCGTTAACGCGTTCATTTGTTCATTTGCTCATTCATTCACTGTTCACTCATTCATTCGCTCACCACGATACATTGCGTACGTATAAGAACATGCGACATTCAAGTTACCGACTTATTTCGACTAAGGGAAAGAAAGAGAATTTTGATGTAAACATTCGGCAAAACATGAGAGCTGTTTCCAAACATTCAATCATTTGTGAAATTTTATAAATTATTTTCTGTTGTATTCTTTTACCAGCTACATACGCGTTTATTTGCTGTTGTTTTATTTATAAAAATTAAATTTTATTTTTCTAAAATTCTGCGTTGATTCTGCATGCTTTTTTAGTGTTAAAAATATTATATTTGTTATTATTCTTCGTACAATTTTTTCTAACACAACTGGTAAAGATGGTAATGTAAAGATTACGGCAAGCAGTTAATTTCTTCAAAATTAATACATCTGTTTTATTCGTGGAATTGGTTTTAACTGTTTTTTTTTCGAATATATAATATTTGCAATGTTCTTTTCTGTCTTGAAAATTTTGAACCGTATATTGTTCAAAATATTTATTCAATCCAAATGAATACTATGTGCCTTTAGAAATAAATTAATGAAAATAAATAAAATGAATAAATAATAAAATAAATCAAACAATAAAAAGGTATGATTGACATTTCAATCCGTTCCGTGCGAACATATTTAGGCGATAAGTAACATTAGTACTTCAAGATGATCAGTGTTGTTTTATAACGAGTGATGTCTCAATTAGAAACATGAACCAATCTACACTTTGTGAGGAATGGTTCGTGTAAACGGCACCAGTGGTTGATCCAGAATTTCGTGATGGAAAATTATTTTTGAAATGCTAAAGTTGATAACCTTCTTTTGGTTTTTATTATTATTATTATTATTATTATTATTAGTTTACAGAGTCCTATGCAAAGTTTCAGGGGCACTTGGATGTTCTGCCGATAGTAACTTGTGAAAAAGCTTGTTCAAAGAAAAATGTTTAAGTCGCTTCTTGAAGAGTTTGGTAAAAAATGTTTAGATGGTTAATGGTAGATGGTTGTTGACGAATGTAGGCTGGCAGACTTACGGAAAGAGAACTGTAGGTGACGATTGACGATTTGTTAACAGCTTGATGTAGCCGAACAGAGTTCACGAATGTATAAACGAGGATGTATGAGTTGTACGTAAGTAGAGCTAATTTACATTTAGTATAAACAATATTAACTTGGGACGTAAAAGTAAAATATGTGAAAACCTTTTTTTTAGATATTTTTTCCATGGTTTGGTGCATCTCCGTACCCACTCTAGACTTTAAACTTCCGAAGGCATTTGTTTTTAAAGTTTAGTACGTAATCAATGTTTGTGCAGGAAAGAATGTTTATAAATATATACATGTTAGACTAAATTCATTGCGCCTGAAAACTTTTCATTTGTTAATTCATGCTTTGTTTCAGTTTAACTTAAAATATAAAAAACTCGTATGTGTTTTTGTATGCTTTTACTTCCTTGGAAGTATGTTGAAATGAAATGCATTGATAGGAAGGAATTCTAGTACATTACGTATGAATGAATGGATGAATGTTTATAGGTAATTTATAGATTCATGCTCATCGGAGCATATAAAATTTTGATTAAATTTTTCATTCATTCAGTATTTTTTGCATTGAAATAATCATGCCATTATTTTGCCTCGGAGATTTTTTTGATTAAACATTTTGCGATTCGTGTAAATGTATTTTATTCAATAAGTTTTCATTTGTTAACCTGTTTAACAGTCCTCATTAATGCCGTTATACACTTGCACGTTATATATAAATATATATTACATATGTGTTTGATTGGTTGGGTGGTTAGTTGATTAGTTGGTTGGCTGACTGGTTGGTTGGTCTGTTAGCTGGTTGGTTGATTAATTGATAGCAAGTTTTTTTTATGTTACTAGTTCTCTGTGTCTGACAAAGTTGGCGTATGTAGAGTGCTATCATGCTCGTTGGCGTAATTTATATTAATTTTTTTAACGTTATTGGTACATAAAGTAGTAATTACTTTCTATATGCTGATTAGGACTTGCCTTAAATTAATGAAGAGAGCTTTAGCAAGCTCTAAATGTGTGGTCGTTGTTTGAACATTTTACGTTGGCATTGTTGCTAAGTATTTTACACATACAAGTTTTATCGACAGTTTCCAAGCGTATTTTTACATCAAGAAACTCATATTTACTCAGAGTTATTTCAGAGTTACTCGTTATATTTTCATTGTCATTGTAGATTCAAAGTTTCATGTTTTTGAGTGGACTCGTAAGTTTGACATTCTTTATAGATTTTTTAAAATGATTTGGTCAGTTTTGTGAGCAGTTGACATTTTCACATGATTTAACAGCTAAAATTAATATGTGGTAGGTGTTGCAGTTGTCGACAAAAAAAAAATTGTATAGAAAGGGAATACTGTTCATTTGATAATATTACAAAAAGGTAACAACAGACGATCATAATTTCTTACCATAAGTTCATTAAATAAAAAACGTTCACAAACTTACTGCACTAACGTAGAGAAATTAAAATCTACTGAACAAAGTTGCATAAAACTTTGTGAACAAAATTACTTTTATTTTGGTCACCCCCCACTAACATTTGGATTTGGAAAAGTGGGACAAAAAAAATTAGGGTTGTTCCTCCAAGACAAAAAATTACAACATATGTGATTCTAACATTTTTATGTACATATTCTTCTATAACCTACATATAAGATTATATTTGTGATATATATATATATATATTTTATTTAAAACCAAATAGTCATATAATAAATTAAACAAGAATTTAGAATGAAAATTGTATTAAAACTGCGATTTTCCAATTGAAGTTCGACCAGTAGGTAAGTTGAAATGCTGACCCCGTGTACGAAATATTATTTTGATTTTAATTCTGTGTGCTGAGCTCTGAAATCTATTTATTTGCTAAGCAATTTGCCGATCATAAATTACAATATTTTGAATGAATTTATAAATCTAATTATTTTTCAAGAAATGAAGCAAAATCATAATCCAATACATAATTTTAAAAAAGTTAATTAACAAAAACTAAATAATTTTTCGATTAGCAAAACTTTTTTAAAATTTTATTAATTTTTTATTTAAAACAAAGTTTTCGAGCTCTTTATTCGTTTTTATATATACACTTATCCTTCTACATTTAAAAGTTCAACCGAGAAATCTCATTTATTTTCCATATTAGGATTAAATTCTCGTAAACAAAGACGTGAACGAACGACTTTCACGAGAACCCAGCTGGATGTGCTGGAAACATTGTTCCAGAAGACGAGGTATCCAGACATCTTCATGAGGGAAGAAGTGGCCATGAAAATAAATTTGCCAGAATCAAGAGTGCAGGTTATTTCTTTTTTTTTTAGTTAGCTTTCTAACAAGAAATTTACAAAGTTACCTACACAGTCAATTAACTTTTATCTATACTGTATACATACTTTTTGCATACATTGCAAAATGTACATACACACGTATCGGCGTGCATGCAAGTATATTGAAATGACTGAAATAAGGTTTAACATATAATAAAATAAAGAATGTGAATTATGGATCTGAATTAAAAAGAATAAAGCAAGTATGAACGGTAAATAGGTGGAAAGGAATGGAGCTCCTTCCTCCCTACCCAACAGATTCAACTCAGGCATTTTAAAACAACTGCCAACTACGCTAGAGCTCTCGCAATGTATTTGAAAGGCTTGGTTTTATGTTTTTAAGAAATTAAATGTAAAAAGTTTCAGCAAGTAATATGATGGAGTAGCAAGTTCCAGTCGTAAGGTCCAACAAAATAAAGAACGTTTCATCAAAAATATTAAAAACTGAAAATTTTTGGAATATCAAAATTACCTTTAGCAGAGATAGATGGATCAAATCATGATATTCAATTTTAACTAAAAAGAGTCTAGTTTGACAAAAAATTATATCAAATTGGTAAATTACTGCAGTGCAGACATACGAGAGAAGGAAAAATGAAGGAAAAAAGTGGGATACGAGAAACAAGAGAAGCAGAATAATGGAGAACTTTAAAAGGTTTGATTGTGCTTTCTGAGTCATTTGAAATAGAAAGAGATAACAATAATTTAGACTAGAGAAAACGAATAAATGTTCTAGTTGCAGAGTCCATCTGTATAAAACTTGAACATCTTGCATTAAGAAACCCACGGAGTTTTTCCGTTGCCTTGCATACGTACACGTCATGGCGTTGTTTGATGTTTTACAAATAGTTTGGCCTATTTAAAATTTAGAAAAATATTTTAACATGGAATATCCGTTTTAATGATTTAATGTAGTTTAATATTTTATAAATGATTTGTTTCACATAGATATGTTTTTAATGAAAACATCATGTTATTTGAAAAGTACATTATTTATATCAAATAGATAAGCTATAAAATTTTTAATATCAATTTGAAGGTATGGTTCAAAAACAGACGTGCAAAATGTCGACAACAGCAGAAAACCTCAGACAATGTAGTGGAAGATAGCAGCAGTCAGTCCTACCACAAATTCAGCAATAAAATTTCCATGACGACACCTCCTGACATTCACAGTGGCATTCTTAACAAATGCTCAAACTCGCCTTGCGTATGCTTTTCCAGTTCTAACTATTTGTTGTGCCGAGAAAAAAATGATGAGTTTAGTAGTAAACAAATTTTCACTGAATCGACGGACAGTTGTGGTGGTGATAAAAATAGTACATTTCAAAGCGCAAAAAATTTGCGTACAAACTATTTAGATTTTGATTTACTACGCAAAAAATTGAACAATGAAAATTACAGCTACTTATCTGAACTCAAGAGTAAAAAAGAAGCAACTGGTGACGATCAGAGTAATGAAAAAATTAGAAAAAACGGTGGCAATTATTTGAACAACAATGAAGACGCGATAGCATCACAGAAAAACTTGAAAATCAATGAATATCCATTTGATTTAAAAAATGAACATCGATCTGTTTCAAATGTGACTTTAGCATTTTTATCCTCAATTGACAAACCTACAAAGACCTGTAAAGTAAGAAGTTATGAAAATGAAAGTGAGAAGCCAGCGTTCTACAGCTTACCTTCAATGAAAAAACATTCCTTCGTTGGCAAAAAAAACACCAATTCAGTAACAACGGCATCACATTTGGACAATCCCACATCGGTCAATCACCAATTTTTATACGACAAACCATCAGCCCTTTATAATACACACGTTACAAATAATTCTCCGAGTTTTCAAAATGTTGATAATATTGTAATAAACAACTGCAATTCCAAGCACAACATTACAGAAAAAGCAGACCCATCATCCTTTTATTATCAGCGGCACATATCTCCATATTGCTCAACAGATCTGAATTATTATTATCCCGCGGTCCCAGCCTCACCACAAACTCATTTCTACCAGCGAACGCAATTCTTACAGTCGGTTGCTTCTTCTGGCACGTCGACAGCATTCAATCAGTGTTTTGTATCGTCGCCATCGTCATCCTCCTTTTCATCTTCATTGTTCTTTCCACCTATTTATAGCCACACTCAAATATATTCATGCATTTCACCATCATCAACATTACCATCATCATCTTTAAATCAACCAAATAATGATTATAATAATTTTATGATCAACACATTCTCCGATGACAGGCAGTTAATGACTAACGGAGTCAGCAATATTCAACACAATCATCCATTCAACAACGAAACGTACAATGAATTTGTTGACGATAATAAAGAATGGGTAACGACGAAGTTTCAAGCACTGTAATAGTACATTCTATCCCTGTATAATATTTTATTGCAATGTAACATAATTTTTTAACTTAAATATCAACAAATTGTCGGTTCGATATTAAGTTTTAACATCATTTTTCTCTAGAATAATTAAGAAATGTATTTTTTAAATTTATATACCATCCGAAGTAAGCTTTTAAATCTCGTGTATTCTTTTATTACCTTGAAATGAAAAAATTTGTTACGAACCATTAAACTGTCAAATTTTTTCGCACATTTTGTCATTGATTAATTTAATGGTAAGTTTATTAGGCAATTTTTAAATATAAATATTCAAAATGCTTTAAAAAATGACTTGCTTTTTTTATTAGTTATTTTTTAATGTTATTTCTAGTTTTCTTTTCATAAAAAATATTTTCAATTCATTAGAAATATTTTTGTGCCTGATGAAGCTTAACACTTTGACGAAACGGCGTTATGTTTGCATGCATGATTTTCTATAAAAAATCAATTAAAAAGTCGAAACTTGGTTACTGTAAAATTATCACATTGAGCTTAAGGAAGGTAATGCAAAGTGACATTAGGAAAAAAGGTTAAACCACTGGAGAAGAAAAATGCCCGAAAAACAAAATTTACTTAGAAAATTAAAAAAATTATCTGTGAAAAAACAATTAAACATTGCACCTTGAGCCCTAAAGCCAATCGTCTGGTGATGGTAATATATTTTGTATGAATTTACTGTTTAATGAAGTAAAAATAATGACAAATTAACATACATCAAAAAGAACGAATAGTTGTTTCCGGAAAGTAATGCTTTAAACATTTTTTAGCTTTGTAAAACAGGTTTGTTAAGTTTACATTCCATATTACCACAAAATATTTTAAAACTGAAATCATTTATTTTCTTACAGCAAACTATTCATGGATATATATAATCATGACTATATCCATGACTATATCGATACTGAAACATTAGTAACACGAACACTGGAGATAGTAGTCATATAAATCAAATTTCATAATAAAAATAATGTAATAATAAATACTTTAATAGATTAATGAACTTTAATATAATTTAATTACTTTGTGTTGCTGGATATTTGACGTGCCGGTATACCGGAACATAATGGTCCATAATTTTATACTTGCTAACTTAGGTAACGTTAAAAAATCAATATATGGTGCTTTCAACGTTTGCTAACTTCACTGGTCTGGAGGTTTAATCTGATTTAATTTTAAATTGCGCTAATTTTTTTTAAAATGGATTCTGAAAGGACAATATTGCTTGCATTCCATCTATTCGGTTGTTGACTTATATTTTTAATTAATCTTTTTATCCAAACCAGTGATCACTGGTTCTGGTGTTAAAATAAATTAGAAATCACATATGAGTTTGATTTGTTAATCTTAATAAATCTTTATATTAATATATATATTATTTTATCTTCTATTTGTTTAATTTGTTGACTGTTCTTTTTTATTTTATTTATTATCATCATTTGTGACATGTGTTATGTCAAAAGGAAAAGAGCATTCATTAGAAATTTAGTGATCATTTTTATTACCAAAATTTGAATTTACAAATTAAGTTATTCTTATGTTAATCTGTTACATGTTACATTTACATTACATTGCAGTTAGTTTCATTTTCATCAATGGACAGATATTTGAAGCTGATGATAGGTATTGTTTTATCTTTTGTTATTTTTTTTTAATTTGTATGAATAACCAGCTTTAGTTAATTAATAATTTAATAACTACAGTTGAAGATTGAACTGTTTGAGGCAATAATTGTGTTATTATCATCCAGATCCTCATCATCCTAAACAATTTTTCTAAGCACAAGTCTTAATTAAACCAACCAGAGCTTTAGGCCTTTAACTCAGCTATTCCAGATATCTGTTTCTAAATGTTGACACATCTTGGTGTATTTTTTTTATTTGATTGGGAACTGTGTCATTACCATCGTATTCTTAAAATACCTTCTCCCAAGTGTGCTTAGTTATTACAACTGCAAATGATTATTAAGCGTTAGTTCACCTAAAATTTTGAAATCTTAAAAAAACAATTACTTTTGTTTAAGAAGAATTATATTTTCCACCTAATTTTTTGTATTATGCTGTTTTGGCAAACAAAACTGCTTACACGTTGTTTTCAACTTAATCATGATTAAATTTTTGTGTCACATGCTATACATTTACATCACACGTTACACATATTTTATGTGTACTACCTACAGTCAACTGCTATCTATCTGCCTGCTGCTTGTGTTGGGTCAAAAACGTTTTTGAAATGTAGTAAAAAAGCTCATGTCTATAAACGTTAATGAAGATGATGATGAGATATACAATTCATAACTCATATTTATATTTATACTCAAAAAAATTTTAAGCAATAATTTTTTTAACTTGATTGATATTAGCTTTATTGAGAAGAAAGGGAATTATGCTTGGCTTCTAGAGGTTTGTCAGCTTTCCTATTAAGCTTTTATTATTTTTTTTTATTTTACTATCAACACTGGATTGATTGGCAAAAGTTGTTTATGCATGAATGTACATGGATCTACATGGATCAAAATTATCTTAACATGAGATCATTCTTGATGCCCTGTTATTGAACTTTTCTTTTTCTTTTATGAATGAGTACAATGATAACAATACATTTTTTTCACTTAATAGTTTTATGCTCCTTGGTGTGGTCATTGTAAGAAATTAGAATCAACATATCACCAAGTTTATTTAGAGTTGAAAAATACAGCTGTGATTGTTGCAAAGGTTGATGCAACAAAGTATCCAACACTAGCCTCACATTATGATGTCAAAGGCTACCCAACCATCAAATTGTTTGTACTTTAACATTTTTATGTAATAACCATATTTTTGGGATTCATAATTTGTTGCTGTTAATTAAAATTACATGACTCGAGCAAATTTATATGCCAAGGACTGCTAATTGTTTATTTTATTCATGTATTTATTCAAATTTTTAAAAAAATTAGCATCTCTGGCTAAACTGTTCTATAAAAACACAATTTTAATAGTGAACATGTTAACAATTATTTTGAATTAAACTTTCCAGTAGGACTAGAAATTAATAATTTTTTACCCTCTTCACTTGCTCATTCATGTAAAAGTTTGAACTGATGGTTATGCAACAGAGGAGTAGCAGTACCATTTAAATATTTTCACCGTTTTGAGTCACACTTTCTTGATGCAGCTCATTTTTCAATCAAAGTTATGCCTCTACCAAGTTTGAATTCAGATATAAATATGCATGCCAGTGGTCAGCTATGGATTTCCACTGAATAGTCTTTGTAACAGGCCTCTTCTAGTGAATCTGTAAGAGATTTCATGTGAACTGCTGCTTTTTACTGTTTAATAGAGGGTGTCGGTGTATTCGTCTAATATGAACATAAACTAGATGAATAATGAATAAAAAATTATATTTTTTATAAACGTTTTTTTTAAAATTTCATTTATATATTTATTTCTAATGTAATTTATAACATTTTTTGCATTAGTACGTTTTTCATTATGATATATAAAACAAATGACAAATGATCAAAATTCTGTTAGTGTAATAGAATTAAACATTTTGTTGAACTTTTGTTCAATTGAAACATATAATTTTAAATGAACGGAAGTTCGACAAGATTTGTATCTGGAGTGTGTGTGCAATTTATTTATACGAAGATTGAAACATGTTTTCATTTAAATACACCTAATACTGTTACCTTTTAGCATTCATGGGGCAAAAGTTGCCACTTACAACGGGGAACGAACGAAGGAAAGTTTGGTCAAATTTGCTAAAAAGGCGTACGGGTAATATACAATTATAATACCATTCCAATAAATTTTTTGTTTTCTTTCCAGCAATTTTCAATTATTTGTATCGTATAGTTATATAAACTATGGAAATTGCTTAATATCTTTTTATCTTATGACTTCTCACATATAACAGATGATGGTAACAGTTTTTTTAGTTGTGATAATTTTGATAAGATAAACATTAATGATGCTATAATAATAATTATTATTATATATAATAATAAATATTGTCATTTTTATTATTTTAGTTTATTTACAATCTTTCATTTTCAGACCGACTGTATCTCACATAGAAAAAGAAAAAGATTTTAATGAACTTCTTGATCACTCGTCAACTAACGTCATTTTTGTGTACATTTTTGATCCTGAGCTGAAGAAAGATGAAGATAAGAATTATGTCAGTGAAGTTGAAAGTTATTCAATGTAGGTATGTTGTGTAATTGCTCTCACATGGCATAAGACCTGGTTAAAAGTCAATTTTAACCCATGTGACTCCCAACCAATAATGGTTTTGGCATTTTAGAAACCAATTAATTAAGAGACAAATTATTAAATTTTGCATAATTTTCGTATACAAGATTTTTTGGCAGCATTTTTGTTAGTTTTTGGGCTTTAAAATATTTAATATCCTTTTCCTGATACATTTGTATTTTTAGCTTTTTCTGAAACTTTCTGAAGTGTTTTTTTAATTTTTCCTGATTAATTTATCATGCATCTTTGCACTCAGTAAACTTTGATAGTAGGATTTTATTGCTTTATTTTAATTGCTGTATTAACTATTTAATACAATAATTTTGTTAACTGTATGCTAAAATTAAAACAACTTTAAACCATTTTTTATAGAATATTTATGCTTCGTTGGCAGAAAAATACACTATCAGCAGTTATTTCTACTCAATGAACGCCGACGCTCTGCCAGAGGTTGTCCTTCTTTATATTTTTTATGTCTTTCCTGACACAGCTTCTTATTTTACTAGTTTTATTTTAATTTAATATTATTTTGACACCAATATTTTAAAGATGTTGAATTTTTTATTAGATTTTTTTTAGAAATTATCTTCAGTTTTTTTTTGTAAATTGGATACAATATCATGCCAGTAATTAAATTATAAACCTATTATATTGCTTGATATCTAAACGTTGATTTTTAAACTTGTTAGAAAATCTTTGAAAAATCGTTGCCATCGATTTTGGTGTTTAAGGATGGTCATCACAAAGTATTTGAAGGTTATTTATATTTATTTATATATAATATATGTGTAATGAAAAGTTCATTTAACACTTTTGCCGTAAACTGCACTCGAGAATTTTCAACATTTTAAATTATTTAGATAATTTCGCCAATTTCACACAACTTTTTCAACACATAACTTCTGTCATTCTCCATTTTGCCAGCATTTACTCCTACCTATTATTAATTATAGATTGTTACCTAGTATTAGTTATAGATAGATTAGTATTAGTTATAAGTATGAAGGTTATGAAACAGTTGTAAAAAAGTCTTCTTTTCATGTTTGACAATTCTTAAATTCTCATAAACCTTTTCTAGTTGACAAGAGTATAGTATTGAATCCTTTTTTTTGTTTGTTGGCTTTATTTACATTTGGTAATTAATTAATAATAATAATCAATAATTATTATTACAATTAATTCTATTTATCCCATTTAGGCCATATAAACGGTCTAGGGGATTGGATGAATGAAGAAAGGTTCAATTTAGTAGCATCTGTAGGTGGGATTGGTCTTAACGAGATGTCATCCTTGAACAAATTATTGTTCATTTACGTTAATGAACAACAAGATAAGTATGTACGATGCAGTTTTTTTGCTTTTTCTATTCGGTAATTTTCTATGTTTTATAGCAGGTGTACATTTTAAGACCGTCATAATCATGTACATTTTAAGATGACATTTGCCATAAAATGTCGTCAATTGATAATATTTTTCTTACTACACAAAGTGCAAAATTTTTCAATTATCTTATCTCTAGGTTGTCTTATTAATTTAATTCATTTATTAACTATCAAAACAAGGTTATATGATCATGTTTCAAAAGTTGCTCTTCAAACGGAAAAACTCAATAAAAGGTTATTAACTATTTCATCATTATTCTTTTGATGATACTTTATAGTAATTAATATTTTTTTAACTGATTTATTTTATTATTCACCATTTGCCTACATCCTATACGCTTTTTGTTGCATTTCTGGCGTCATAAAACTTTTTTCTTTACATAAATTCATTTAACTTACCTGCAACTATCTTTGAATTATTTTTAATATTCTTGTATTCGGCTGTCTTTATGTTTATATATTACTCATAATTTCAAACGCGATGTCATTGCTAATGATTTTAAGGTTCTCTATTTAGTTAAGAAGGTAAATTAAGTAGATACTAGTGTTAGATATCAGATTGTATTCAAATATATAATACAAATAATAATAGAGTAGGAGACCATTAAATAAATCACTTGAAATAATAAAATGCTGGATGGGCATTGTTTAGTAACGGCCTTCCTGACGATGACAGTATTTTAGAAATTGGAAATAACGAGCAACTTTTCACAAGGTGCAACCGATTTACCTTTTCTCTAGTTTTCAGACGAAGTAACAGGAGGCGTTCTTCTGGACGCCATTATGTTTGCTTTGTTCTGGTTACCCAGTAAAAATTTCATGCTCTATCACAGTATTCAGCGAAAAATCGAAGCCACAATCTTATATAAAACAGAGAATTTTACGTAATAAAAGACGAGAATACATTTCACAGGTACCAATTTGTATGGTTGAGAGATGTAGATACCGGACGTAATCTTATCATGTCTCATGCAAACCCTCCATTCGTCTTTGTCTTCAACACATCAAATCATTTATATTATCTTCCTACGTCGCACATGCTTTCATTTGAGGATGTTCAGAGTTTTATGAATGGCGTTGATAAGGATCTCTACGAGGTTAATATAATTTTTTAGTGTTTTCAGATTAAGAATTTTTGTACTCTGATCAAAATAAAAAAGATTGTTCAAAACAAAATTTATATTTATTTTTTGTTACATTATTTAAAATATGACTATTTTGAGTAGCATTCTTCATACTAGGCCTGCATAATAAGAACCTGGGTAAATCTTTCTTGAACACATTTCTAAATTATTAAAAACATATCCAGTTTTGAACTGGAACCTAAATTCTGCAAAGCTTCAACTTGCAACTACTTTTTAAAAAAATCTTTTTCTCTACGAATATTTTTTTTAATCATTGATGATGGTTCTATAGTTACTGATTGACATCTATGAGTAATGCAGAAGAAAGAATATTAACGTTTCTGTTAAGGAGAGTTTAATTTCAACTTAACTGTTTCTAGGATTTACATAATATTAAAAGAAGCTATCTAATCAATTGCATGAGTGATTTATTCAATCAGCAGCTGGAAAATGAGTTGAGAGCTTAAAAGCTGAAGTGGTTTGATTGAATAGCTACGTTTAATGTTATAAAATTGTTAAACGGAATGAGAAATGAATTTACACAAACATAGATTTGCGGTGGATTAATTTTAAAATTAGGATTTAAATGATTAATATAGAAGAGTAAATTATATTAGAGTAGCGATCAAGAATTTTGGAGAACAAAAAAATTAGATGGTTTAAAACTTTAAATTGCTATCGATTTTTAGATGACTGAATGCTATATAAAAATTTAGAATTATTAATTTCAACATTTTTATTTTTAGACGTATGGAGGCAAAGGAATAATTCCACTGTTGAAGCATATGCTCTACAACATCGTTAACTTTTTGCTCGTTAGTATCTGTATATCATTTATAATTTAATATATATACAATAATTTTATGTTTCTTTTCATTTTCTTGATGAGCAACTTATCATAACACTTTTATTTTTTAAATGTATTTTGTTAAATTTATTCACAAATGTTTAACATAATATGCAGAACATTTACAAGGAATCATTGTGGCTTCTTTTGATTCTAGTCATTGTTCCAAGTTTCATTTTATCATTTCTTTGTTATATTTTATGTTGCATTGACTCTGAAGTGATTGATGAAGACGAGGAAATTGTGTCTCTAGAAGACATTGATAAATACATGTATGACAATGAGTTCAATCAAAATGATGATGACTACAGTAACTCATTGAAAGGTTATTTTTTTATTTCTCCAACTGTACTCATGATACGCAAAAATATTTAAATAGAAATATAATATATAATCTATAAATAATATAATAATCTATTTGCCTAACATATTTTTTTATTTTCGATTATGTTCTATGTTTAACAACTACTTGCAAATATCTTTTTGCTCTATCATCCACGTGATTAGTTATAATATATAATCTATAAATAATATAATAATCTATTTGCCTAACATATTTTTTTATTTTCGACTATGTTCTATGTTTCACAACTACTTGCAAATATCTTTTTGCTCTATCATCCACGTGATTAGTTTGCGAATGCTTAATAACTAAATAACCAACCAAGTATAAAGAAGCAATGACCATTTAAAGAGACATTTTGAGAAATGACCTGCTGCTAAATGAAACTTGATAAAATGGTAAAATCTAAATGAGTTGAAATTTGAAAAATAACAAAATTTTTTCAGAAAATAAAGAAACCGAGATCTCAAAAAAACAACAATAAATGATCTGTTTGGGAGGAATTTTTAAACCAATTAATCAGTTATGGATGTTATTTGTTATTTTTCCATTATTTGTCGTTGTTAATTACAATCAAATGATTTAGTCTAATGTCTGTTGTACAATTTTTTTACTGATTGTGACCGACACTTTTTCATCAAGAGAATTGTGAATTTTAACTTAACAACTGGTGTAAATTTTTTTTTCCATTTAAAGTTATTTTTTAACGCCTACTAGCGTACGGTCTAATCTACATATTTATAGAATTAATTTAAGAGGAAATCAAAATTAAATTTCGTGGAGGCTGAAGTTGAAAAGTAATAGAGGATCGATTGAAATTTTAACTCGTCCTAGTCATATCAACGTTCAGGCTTATATTACGTAAAAATTTTATTACATTTTTGTATGCCTATTTTCTATAAAAACAGGTTGCGCTTAGCTCACATGCTTCTTCTTATGTTACGCTTGTCACCGCTTTAAAATATTCCTATACTAAATTTGTATGCACAGAATTTCGGCACGGCGTTCAACTCAAACCAATGTCTGATGTTCTTAAACTCCTAAACCTCGTTTCTAAAAGACTTAGAAGCGAAGTTTAAGAATTTTATGCTATTGAGGAAAATACTAATTTTAAAAAATTATGCACAGCATGTAGTTAAGCAAGGAATCTGACTATAATTGTATTCTTCCCGTCTATGAGAAGTTAAAATGAAACCCATAAATAATTACATGACATTACCAAAGTTTTAATTATGTTAAAAATTTTTCATTCAAGAATAAATTTAAAATTTAGTCAAACAACATTTGTGTGTGTGAATACAGTTTTTATACATCATCTATAGGCTCTTCACTTTTTTTTGTAGTATTTGTATCCAGTTTTGTTGGTTCAGTGAAAATCTCTGCATTTTTTATGCCTAAAAAGGAACCCATCCCAGCAGCTCTTTCAGCTTCCTTCTGACTGTATGGTTCAACTCTTAAAGATTTCAACCTAAATAATTTTAATCAAGCAATGTTTTAAAAATTAAATGAAAATATAAGTGTATGCTGAAAGTATTCTTGAAATTAGGAATGAAACAAATCAATAATAAATAACTAGAAGCCTTCAATCAGAATGCTGACATAAAAATTCTAAACCGAAATTTCAATCCAATAAAACCTAAAATTAAAGAGACTTTCTGTATTTTTACATATTTAAATATAACGTATATCAAGATTTTGAAGTAAGAAACTTCAAGCTTTTTAATAATTCTGCCACTGCTATACCCAATCATTATCTACCTATGTAATGAATGTCACTAAAGAAATTGATAAAGCTTTTTTGGAAAACGGTTCTTGAGTAAATGAAAAAAAACATTAATTGTTGGAGATAGACCATACACTGCAAAGGTAAAGAGGTCTTCACAACTGAAAATATACTAAATATATAGAGTTAAAGGCAAATTGAACAAAATCAATATATAAATTTGCAAAAAGTTGTACTGAGAACTATTTCAGCCTCTCCAACAATAAAAGTAACATTTTATACAAAACAACCAGTTTTAATAGAAAAATTGCATAAAAATTGCTTAATAAGCAGAAAAAGGTTGATAGTTTTAAAAAATTCAAGCCCCCTCACAGAAAATATCTGGCTATGCCATTGGCCACAAATGATGTTGTCATGAACCAAATATGTTCTATTGAAAAATTAATAGAAATAACCTTTTTTTGTGAGCTTTTGTTTTCAAGTGGATTTTCAAAACATCATCTGAGTCAAAATATCGTCTGAAAAATAATGAGTCAATCGAAAGTTTAAATTCTTAAAAAATCTTTGAAAATAGAAAACCACAAAACAAAAGTAATAAAAAAACTTTTTTATCTCAATTTTCAAACATGGCCCTTCCATTTGAATATTCATGGGCAATTTTTATTGACAAATGTTAATGAAAAATGTTCATATGCATCCTTTTATAATATATAATAAAATAATATGTTATAATAAAATATAATGTATAGTAGTATAATAGTTAGTTAGATGTAGCACTATATTTTTGTGAAAACAAAATATACAAAAAACTGCCTGTTAAGAACCCTTTTGTTTAATTTTAAACTGACAGTTTAATAGCAGATCTTAACAAAATTGGTGATTAGGTTTATTTTAAGATGCATTTTATAGTAAAACCAACCCTGAAATTAAATTCCAATTAAAATTAATTAATTAAATTAATAAAGTTAAGTCTTTCAATTAGTGTGCAACATAATCAGCACTTGATTATTTATTTTTAATTTAAATATTATAAAATAAAAAAAATAGTCAAAAAAAAACAGATTTTTATTTTAACATTAAAAAAAACCAACGCGCAGTATAAACAATAGTGTTGACCATCTCCTGGAAGGTCTTCATTTTTCTCAGTTGGATTTAACAAGTTGGAATACACAGGTTTTAAATCGAAATGAATTTGATCTAAATCTTTAGTACATTTTTTAATACGTTGTCTTCTTTTCGTAGGCCCGCAACTTTTATGATGTCTTTTTCTCGCCTGTGGCCGCCCCATGCCGTATTGACTGACGAACGAACGATGGAACGATCAACAACGTGAGTAAAAACGTGAGCAAAGCTATCAGTCAAGAAACTTTAAAAACCACATAGATAAATTTAAAACATGGTCAGTATGGAAAACCATCAAAGTGCAAAGACAAAATTGAAAACATTAACAACTTATTTATATTTTCATTTGCTACTTTTAAACAGTTAATTGTTTGCTTGCAAGTTTACATACATATGTATTTTATTTATTTTAATACCGGTGTTTTTCTCTCCCTCTCTCTATCTACAACATAATTATTTTAAATAAATATTTAATTCTATCATACGGTTCGTGTTTATGATGTTTTTTTTATGTTTCTCTTCGTTCATGTATCCGTATGCGTATTATGCGTATTGTTGTTGATAGATTTATTTTTTTTAATGATATTTCAATGATATATAAAATATAAATAATTATAATATAATAATCTATCTATCTATATAATATAATAATAATATAATAATCTATCTATCTCTGATATATTTTTTTATAAATTTATATTATTTATTCAATTATAATTGATATATATAGAATTTTAGATGCAATGCAAAGAATTTTTGTATGCTATTGTTTTTTAATTTTAAAATTAAATTATTATTGATATTTCAGTATCATTCAATAATAGTTAACTGTTTTTTTAATTAAAATTAGACTATGTTTGTAAAAACAAAAAAACAGATCATTGTATAAAATGTATTGTATAGTATATAAAATTAGCTGGAATAAGTTCCTGGATAAATAAGATAATGAATGATTTATTGACAAGTTCATTAGGTACTACATATATTATAAAATAAATAAATCCATTTGAAACTACATCCTAATAATGTTAAGTTTTTTCCAGTAAATAATTTTTGTATCAATGTTATTTCAATTCAAACGCTTATGATAAAAATATTTAAGTATTTGTAATTGCTTAAAACTTAAAAAATAAATTTTATCTTTTCAAGAATTAATGGCTTTGTTGGAATTGGGAAAACAGTTATTAGAAGCATCCAAAAGTGGCTCAGCTGAAGAGGTGAGGATCCTTATATTTAACGGAGCACCCTTCACTACAGATTGGGTAGGATGATTTTCCTTTTGAGGTTTTTTAATTAAGAATTATTGTCATTTAAAATTTAAATGAATATCAACTCTAAAAGTAAAAGTGTTGGGTATCTAAGATCACCTCAGATTTGTTATGCATATTATTTTTGTTTTAATTTTTATCTAGATTAATGATTGATTGATTAATTAATTGATTTATCAGCTGATTAATTAATTAATTTTAAATCTTAATTGTAAGCTGTAACATTTCTGTTCTGTCCAGTCTCACAGTATGATGTTACTTGTAATATATTTTCCACCTCTGTTCAGCTTCTTCACTTTTTAAGATAGAAAAATTTGGTGTACCCTTTTATAGGTGAATTAATAATCAAGTTTTTCTTTGTGTAAAAATAAAATAAAACATTTAGTTGATTGACTAAAGCAATCATTTTAATTGATTACTTTCTATTGAATTTGAATCTATGAATGTTTCAGAGGTTATTGCTAAATATTTGTTTGTGTTGTATTATAGCTTGGGACATCTTCTTTACATTACGCTGCTCAGAATGGTCAGTATGACACAGTCGAAGTATTACTAAAAGCCGGTTTAAGTAGAGATGCAAAAACAAAAGTCGACAGAACACCACTTCATTATGCAGCACAAGAAGGACACAGTGACATAGCTCAACTTCTTCTGTTACATGGGGCTGATATGGAGGCTAAAGACATGGTAGGTATTTAATTCTATTTGACCGTTTTCTAATTTTTAATTTTTTTTTCTTTTAATTTATTATCATAATTGTTTGAAAACAATTAAGTCACTATTGATTGTCTACATTTATTTTTTATGTTATTTTTGAGTTGCTTTATTATTAGCTTCATATAAATTACGAGATGATAACAACGCTACTTAATATGAGTATATATGTTGAACCTTGTAATGCAAGAAAGATAATATAAAGTCATCGTTCCAGTTCAATTTTCTTACATCTAAAAATGGTTGCTAAGTTTTTTTTCAGCCTAACGTTAATATCAAGAATCACTTTTATGGTTAGAATATAGAAAATTCAGATCATTAAGCATTTTGTAAAAGGTTTGGAGAGTATACTGACTTACTTGAAATAGAAACTTGGTAACTTTTATTTATTTATTGATTACAATTGTAAAATATATGTTGCTCTAACGACCTAAAACTAACAATCAAATCAGTCAACCGAACTTGATGTAAATTAGCCATGGCATTAGCTTTCAGAATCCAGTGTTCATTAAATGATTTTTCTGAAAATTTTGACGCAAACTCAGCAGGTTTCAAGCATAACTTTAGATTGACCATTCTCTGGGTCACACAGCACAACTTAAACACACAAAATTTTTAAACTTTGATGCTAAAATCCATATTGCTCCGCAAATTTTTATATATTAATAATAATTATTTAATGATTTTAAGTTGAAAATGACTCCATTGCACTGGGCAGTTGAAAGAGGTCACATTGAAGTTGTTCAAGTCCTGCTGTCCCATGGAGCTTCCACTTCAGAATATAACAAAGTAAAATTTTTATTTTTATAATAAAGTATGTTTAGTTTTATTCAAATTTTATATTTCCATATTTTTTCTTCTGTTTCATTATTTTTTTTGTTTCATTACGAAGCTTGTCCTTCAACGTTACTCTATCTTAGCTTCACAGATATTAATCAAGTTAATTGTGATGTACAGTTTCTCATGTATAATTTGTAGATTTTTCAGCAATCAGCAGAAATTTTATACCTTTTGAATATAAAATTGAAGTCATTCATAGTTTCAGTTCATAGCTCATTTTGGCGTATTGTGAAAATTTCATTTACATTTTTTTAATATTCACAAATGTTTGTTGAAAAGTTTGACAAAACACCAGTTGATATCGCAATCAGAAATAAAAGAGCCGATATTCTGGAACTTTTACAGTCTACAAGTGTTAGTTACCACAATCCAACATAAATTAAAATTTAAATGTATTAATTAATCTCATTTTTGGCTAATGATGTATTTTCGTGATAAAGTTACACGAGGCACCCATTTATGTTTGGAATTGATTCAGGTTTTAATATAGGTCTCCAAATTATCAGTAATATAATAAAAATATACATGTCCAGTCCATGTACAATATTTTTTTAATTCTCTAAATCAAACTGAAAATGTAACAACATGCAAGGTATGAAACTAGATAGGGTCGATGAGCGTTAAACGTGGCACCCATTTATGTCTGCAATAATAATAATTAATTGGTGTCCGCAATATTAATAATCAATAATACTTTATTCTATGTTAATATGAGAGCTGGAAAGAAAGTGACAGAATGAATTAATATTCTATTATTCACCAACAACTCGATTTACAGAACAGCTCTGTACAGCACGTCAATCCCGTGACGATAATTGAGGAAGTCATAACATCAGAAGCAATCAATAATACAGAGTTATTCAGCAGTACTGAAAAAAATATTGACCAAATAAACCAATTAACCGGTTAATTTTTTTTCATATTTATCACGTGTTTTTCAAATCAATTTTAATTGTAGAATCATTTTGTTGGGCATAGACTTCATCGTAGGTCAAAAGTTATAGTTAGAAGAACGTTTGAAAATTGTAATAGTAGCATTCGAAACTTACAAATTTTAAAGTTTTTAAAAGACCTGATTGGAGTTTTTTTTGCAACAAACGTAGAGGTACCTATAAAAGCTTGAAGAATGTTGTCTTGTTTCAGTAAATTTTGCTATTTTGGTAAATTGGAATGGGCATGAACATAGTTTCTATTGTAAAAATTTTGTGAGTGGGCTTTAATTGTTTGTTTAGGAATAATTGGGGATGAAAATTGTATTGAGTCATTTGAGAGGAAATTAGCGATAGTTTATGTGGAAATTGGAGTGTTGTCTTCATAGAAAAATGTTGAACTAGAAAGTTATAGTTATGCATTTAGTATTGCTTGAGAACGTGCTTAAAAACTTGGCTAATATAACAAAGTAAAACAAGAAATAGTAAAATACTATTAGCAGTAATAAAGATAGAGTATATTTTATATTTCATGTTCGTAAAATTTTTGTTATTAATTAGATAAAAGTCCCTCTGAAACATTAACATGGCTAGACAATCCAGCTTTAAATGTCATTTCGGTGAATGCCTTACAAACTAGTTTGGATGCCAGCCAGATGTTTATTCTCACAGGTTAATTTTTTAATTACATTTCCATGAATTTAATAATGAATTTTCTTAATCATTTTGTAAACAGAAGCTGGTAAATTGGCTTTAAAAACCGTTCAAAACTGTGACTTAGATGAAGCGAAAATAAATTAAATATTTTTTTTTATAATTTAGTTAAAAAAATCTATCTGTTGTTTTTCTGTTATTCTAAAGACACAGATGCATTATTTTATATTACATTCCTTTACTTTAGTGACTGACGATTTTTAATTTGGTCTTTTGCCGATTTGTCTTTTCGTTTGATTTTATTTATTTATTTATTTAAAACCAGACAAATTGCAATGAAATAGCAATTAAGTGGTCCTCGGAAACCAAAAAGGCTTGTGTAGGCTACCGTGTCATTATATTAAAAAATTAAACGCTCGAAGCTTAATAATAATTAAGTAACCGGCATCTTTATAAAAAATCAAATGGTGAAAACTTAGAAAAATATGTCATAGTTATTAAAATACAATAAATAATTAACGAGGCGACAAAATAAACGAATAATTCAACAAGGCGAATCAAGATTACATGAATAAACTATAGCTCAACGTATAGAATACATAACTCAACGGATGTAGAAGTGTTACATATTTTTCCTCAGCGACGATAAATTTTCGCTCATTTTAAAGAAATTTTCTTAATGTGGTGGGTTTCGTGTCTTTTTTGTCCATCACTTAAAAAGTAGTCTCGTTCCTAATCAAGCTCATATAAAAATGACAACAACTTTTAACGAGTAAAAGCTACTTAGAATGCAAAAGAATTTAACTCTTGTGCTATATATACAACATACCTGCATATGTACCTAGGGCTATTTTAATGTGTTATTGATGTCAGTGTGTGCATGTGAGTTTTGGTTTGGATGTATTTTCGTGAACGCTTAGGCGGAAATATCACTTTGGCGTAATACAAAATTTTTATTTAAATATTTAAATATTTACATGCAATAAATACGTCAGCATTTACTTAGTTTTGACGGGTGAAAGCAATATTTTACAACAAAATTGAATAGAGTAACATCCAAACAAACCATGTAAGCCGGCCACTACCAAAAATTCCATTCATGATAAAATTCAGTTAAAATTTGGAATAATGAAGATGATAAAAACAAACACGTTAAAAAACAATGAAGCACAGAGCAGAATTTATTTGCCTGTCGAGATAAACGTGCGACATGGATAATTTCTGTTAAAATTTTCATGTTAGAACATGCTGTTAGTAGGATAGAATTCATTTACTTTCATTGCATCTGAAAAATCGTGTTTAAAAACTGTTACGTTATGGGTGAACCTGGAGGAATTAAAATTTAAAGTTTAAAATATAGAAAACTTTGAAATTATACGCAGAGAAAGTAATAATTTTCAATTAATTTTCGAATAAAATACGTACAAGAAAATATTAATCAAGCATTATAAAATTACTTGTCTCTATTCTTGATTGAAAGACTTTTCTCAACCCCGTCCATTAACTTTACAAAGCATTCTGCAACCGCTGCTTGCTTCGGTAGAGGAACATTTTGAATAAATTCATTTTTCAAGTTGTTGAAGTGCTGAAGTTGTGAGACAAAGTGACTTTTTAGAAATATTAAAAGTGATTTTGTTTAGTTATTTGTTAAAAATAAATAGTCATAAAGATGATGTTTTAAAATCAAACACTTGCCTATTATCTAATCGATTTTCTTTTTAAAATAGTTGTAAAAATTATTAATTCGAAAATTGTATTTATTTTTCTGTTTCGGTAGAAAGCATGGATTGAACTCATAAACAGACACTAAAAAAGCAACAAAATGTAGAACTTTAAACAGATTTTGAAAAAATTAGAACAAGTTGATGAAATCCTCGATATTATTTATATTAATTTAATAAAAAATTTCAAAAACCTCTTCATGTAAAAGTATTAATCCAAACATAGGTCTTGATAGGGACCACTGATTTCTAATTTCATAATTTATAGTCACGTTAAATATATCAGAAAGAATCTGTAACAAAAATTCAAAATGTGGTTATTAAAATAAATGGATATTGTTGTATTAATCATTAACATATGAGTTGAAATTAACTGGCAGGTTTATGAGTTCTGAGTGGGTTTTTTAGTATAACATTATTTAGCGGGAACCTGTATTTTTCAAAAGCTAACCAGAAATAAAAACGAAAAGTAACTATCAAAGAAATAAGAGTTTGAAATAAAACTTTTCAGTTATAAATAAATTTTACTCTATTTCTGACATATTGGTATATATTTCTAGGTATTCAAGTTTTGAGAATTTATAGAGTACTACTTTATACAGGCATCTATGAAATATTTTGAATTAATCCTGTTCTTTAAATCGAATTTTGCGGTCTCGAGTGACATCACCGAATTTTTATCCCTGTCCTATCCTCAGCTAAGCCATCTAAAAGGGTATAAAACCCCGATAGCAGTGCTCTTTATACATTATACAAGAGGTTTCATTATTTAGTTCAGGAACCAATTGAAATGGTAAATGTCAACGAATAAAATCAAAAGGTGAAATTGAAAGAAAATACATAAAAATTAATTTTAAACAAATAAATTAAAAAACTCATACGCTGTTGAATGTCATGAAAACAAACCTGTTTAAAAACGCTAGGGTCAATATTAAGCAAACCATGAGCAAGCTCGTTAGACTTCTTTGACATAACTTTATACAAATGTGTTATTATGTTATCTAAAATTGCACAACAACTGGTCAGGACTGGAGGCTCTAGAAATTGAATAGAAATGTGTTTGATGAAAATTTTATTGAATTTCGATATACATTTCATTAAAAGTTACTTTACCTAAATTCAATGTGCGACCCATCAGTTGAATATTATAATTCAATTTAATGTATTCACTAAACATTTGTTATATGAATGTGAATTATATTTACTTAAATATATATATATATATATATATGTATATATATATATATATACATTCCATCTGCAACGCAAATTAAAATTAGCAAACATTCAACTCTAAAATATAACAAAGTGCTTGTTGTTCCTTGACAACAACTGCAGCACCAACAAACTAACAATGCAACTTTTCAGAAAATTGATTTTATTTTCAATTTATATCAATTTATAAACTTTCAAATGACACAGAGAATAACTATTTATCCTATTTGTTGATGATTTGGATAAACGCATAACCATTAACTCAACAAAAATAATAAGTTATGATAGCAATATTAAGGAAAACGTCAAACCTAAATGATTTGATAAATTTAATTTTATCGTTGAACTTAATTAGAACAAATTGAAATGAAGAAATTGACACCTGTCGTGAGTAAGACACTTGACAATGTTGAAAAAATATACGTCAGCACGCTGGCATCAAGTGAACCAATGAAAGACAAATGATCCTGTGAGACGGTTTCCAGTAAGGAGAAATATGATTGCATTAGTTTTGGATATTCCTGGTCAAAATAAAAAACTTTGGGTAATTACATTTTACCAGAATATTTTCATTACTATTCTTACACGTTTAGTTGATTATAGGTTATTTTATTATTTTCATTTTCTCTTATAATTACTCCACTTCTCTGTGTGTATTTATTGTGTACAAATATTCATTTTATTACATACTTGTAGATATGAGCATGTAGGCATTATCGGCGCTCATTATTATTATATTTTGTAAAAAAACATATTCCTTAAAATCAACGCGAAAAATAACATAGACCATGAAAATAAATAAACAAACAAATAAATAATACAATTAAACACAAATTTTTAAATAAATGAATGAAATTGTCACAAAAGAAACAGCAACAAACACTTCAGCCTAGGAGCTCAAAAAAAGCTTCTGATACATCACTGATAGAAAAATAACATCAAGGTATCGTTTAGAAATAACATGAATTAAAAAATAAACGAAATAAAATATACACAAAACGTTGTTTACTTTAAGTGTTTTGAGATCGATAGAAAGCAAGAACTTCACAAAGACTTGGAGAGCGTTGTTCAGAGCAGGGTCTTCATAAAGTTTGAAGACCCCGAAGTTCAAATAATTTCCTGATAGAGCAGATTTTAACATTCTGAAGCATATTGTTATACCTTTCAGTCTGAACAAATTAAAGAAATAAAATGTAACAATTTAAAATGTAAATTTTTAAAGTTGCGATAATGAAAAAAATTTACTTCATAATGTACAACTTGTCGCCAGGTATATTAACATTGTTTAACAGATAATCTCCTGTTGGAATGAAAGAAATAGATAATTTTGTCTTTTGTTTAGAAATCTAAAAATGATTCAAGTGTTCAAAGTCAATTTAAACGTTTCTGAATATTTCTTTCACTTCATATCAATTTAAATTAAAACAACATATCTAAGTTTAATTTAGTTACGTTTTATTTGCCATAGGTGCAAGCAGAAATGAAAATGATTATTGAAATTACGATGCAAAATCTACCACCATAATTTTACAAGACATTATTTATTTTACACTTTTGCCGATACATGCTAACCAAATTAAATTCTGAATGTCTATACCATTACACCATGGTTTCATTTACGCTTGCATTTCAGGCTCTTTAATTTATTCTAAACAGTTTTGTCAAAAATTTGCTTGGTTGAAAATTGACACCAACGAATAAATAAATTGTGAGAAATTGTTACAATAAAAAATACTTGACCAGGTAATTATTATTATAAATTTAATTATAATTATAAAAATTCCAATATATTTACCGTAAGTTGTTAAAACTCTACTGACTTCCCTAAACAATATAATTCCATTTGGAGACGAGATGTCAAAAACTAACCGTTGAGATCTGAAAAATTTGGCTAGCGGCATTTATTTTGTAACGGTTAAATTAACGTCAAAATAATTTGCTACCTGTTGTAAGAAAATTCGTGATAGAGTTTAAGCAGAGATGTCGTGATCTGAGGGTCGTAATAATACGCCTCTAGCATTCTCATTAACAGTAATGAATTATCAGGGAAGCTTAGTATACAATTAAGGGGACAAACAAGTTATATCAACATTCGTAGAATAATTTCATGTGTGTAACACTGGTTGGCTGTTCCATCCCAGCAAACAAGCAGTTTTGTATTTACCTAGTGCAGCTTGCAACAGATGAAAAAAGATATACCACGCTGATCCTTTTTCTTCACGGCTAATGAAATACGAAGTGTGTGTGTTGTGTGTATAGTGCTTTCTTAGCATTTACGTACAAAAAGCAATTGATAAATTAAATCACGGTAACAGTAACACGGTTATTTTAACTAATGTTTTCAGTTTTTATAACTTTCAAATCCCTTCATTATAGGAAGACTAAATTTTTAAATATACATTATTGTTGTATATATTTTTTTTAAATAAGGTAAAGTGTAAAGTAAAGCACGATAAATTTAAAATAAGTTTGAACCAAGCGGGAACTACAGAAAAATGATTGATGACTTGAAAACAAAAAACTCGTAAAGGATACAACCAGTTGAAGAGCATCATGTAACTATGCTTTGTGTTAAAGGCCAACGCGATTCCTTTTATATCCAAGCAAAGACCGATAATACAATTCTGATGTGATAAACATTTTTCAAAGAAATGCAAATTTTTTTTAAAATAAATTAAAACCTTGATTTCATTGGTTGATGTTGAATTTTGAACGAGCAAACTTTTCAAAAAGTTGAATGACGCTGAAAAAGAATCATGAATAATAAAAACTGTTATTTAATTGTCAATATATAATTTATATGATTAAGCTTTATGTTCAAACAACGATTAATCACACATACGTGCTTTCCTAAATGCCATAATGCCCCGTAAATGAGAAATAGAAAAAAAAGTTTTGTTAGCTCTCTTAATAGAATATGATGGAGTTGGCGGAACGGAATGCTAAAAAATTCACTAGAAGGCATGCAAATTATAGCACAAGAACAACATTCAAACGCAGATGTTTTAATGAATGTATTTATGAAGCATGTAACATGTAAACAACAAGAAAGAAACCTTGAATGGGTGAAATGAACCGCCAGAACATCTCATCTTCATCTTCAGTAAGATCGAGAACCAAGATTCTACTGAGGGATGTATAAAACAACGTTCGACATTTCATAACGTTCGAAGTTGACCTTAAAAATTCAAAATGATCTGCCTGTATGTTTAGGGAAACAATAAAAATAAGATGAAAAGTTTGAATTAAATTCGAAAATTTAAATTTAAATTACAGAATGGTTATAGAGAATGAACTGTATTTCCTCTAATTTGACAATTTTTCTGACACTTGAAAATCCAACGGATAGATCGTTAAACAGATTTAGAGTAAACTCAACCACCCTCTCCGACGTTCCCCAGCATTTCAAATTAGTCATTCTTCAAAGTTCATAAAAATTAAAAATTATTAAAAATTATTTCATTATTAAATAATAATTTGTGGAAACAAATCTATTTTTTTATTCAATGAATTGTTCAATATACTATTTATATTTAAATTTTATCTTTTTTATTTACTATCGTTTTAAAAACTGTATAAAGAATAGAAAAAAATTGTAAGAAGTAGAATTGATACAGGAAAACAATGCAGATCTCAAATCTTTTAATGATGTTGAACAGCTAATGAAGAGACACACAGTGTTATTGAGTACGTATTAAATCAAATCAATCATTGGTTCTATTTATTTCGTTAGGAGGTCGTTGGTATCATCTGGCGTCCTCCATTATTGTTGTTCCATAAAATTTATCACCATAGCTGATTATTTTAAACTAACAAAAAATCAAGGAGAGATGGTGTTTCAAAAAAATAAAATTGGAAAGGTTGCTTATAAGACTGCTATGGAAAAGCTGAGTTCACTTAGAAGAAAAGAAGGTGAATATGGTGCTGGAGCGAAATTGAGAGGGAAGATTAAAAAAATAATTAAAAACTTAAAAATATATGATGAATAGTGATTTATATGCCAAAAAAGCAAAAAATTTTCAGCAAGAAAAGCAGATTTCGATTTTCGACTCTGTTAAAGCTGCCATGTAAAGCTGAGTTCACTTAGAAGAAAAGAAGGTGAATATGGTGCTGGAGCGAAATTGAGAGGGAAGATTAAAAAAATAATTAAAAACTTAAAAATATATGATGAATAGTGATTTATATGCCAAAAAAGCAAAAAATTTTCAGCAAGAAAAGCAGATTTCGATTTTCGACTCTGTTAAAGCTGCCATGTATTAGCCATGGATTCAATGATTTTCATAAATATAAGTACAGACACAGAGCAGATAAGGTGATTTCCTACAACGAACTACCACCAATAATAAAAACAGAAAATATACCTAAAAATAGATAACTATTGAATGTAAGATTGATCGAACGTAGTGCATATAAATAAATAACAGCTATAAACTGCGATTCCGGGTAAATGAGGCTGGGAAGACTTAGACAGGCGTCCAGAAAATGTTAGGACAGGTTTAAAAATAAACAGCAAAAACTATAAAAAAAATTGAATTATATATTAAAATTTATAAAGCAACCCTAAACATCTCGTAAAATTTTTTTTAACAAGTTTCTACCAAGCTCTAACTTTACATTATTAATCAAACGATCTGATATTGACATATCAGCATAACCACCACATCTAACATTTTATGTATAATTATTTTTAGCATGGTAGTTTCATCACTGATACCAAAGACATCATTTAGGCACTTGTAGACCTGAAAATTGCAATTAAAATTAAATGATCATCCCTGACTTAATAAATAAAACCAAATGATAGGACCTTGAAGGTCTTTTGAATCTGATCTCCAATGTAAATTTTGCGAAAATGATCCAAAAAACTAATGTAGGCCCTCTCTAGTTTTTCAAATCTGTTCTGAGACAGTCTGTAGTCGGTTTCGTTCATGAGTTTCAAAACCCTGAAAGAGAAAAAAACACTATACAGTTCTACAATTATTAATTTTTATGACATCAGATAAGTTTTTAACTCTGCAAACTGTTATGAGTAAGAAAAGACGCAAAAATAAGAGTTCAAGAGCACTTTACGATTTAGAAGGTGACGATAAACCTAAAAACAAATAAACAATTTTTAGCGAATTTTGTACAACATCTCGATGGAAATTACAAATCACAAAAAGTACTTAACCACGCAGTTTGTTTTCGAGCCTCGCTCTTTCGATATTTAGTTGCTCTTCGCAACATTTCTAGCAACTAAGTTGCACTTAGTTGCTAGAAATGTTCTTCCGAATGTGGTTTAAAGATTTACATTAAGCGGCATTATCAAGCAATTCTTCACAAGCCCGTTTTGCCGAGACACTCAGCAGGGTCAACAACAATGGCATAAAAATAACGGACGTGAAGCTCCTAGCAATATATTTGATCGGCATAACGGGTTAAAAGGTTCAAGTGTCAGGTCACTTTTAGCAGTGACCAGCTTTGTGTGCAATGGTAAAAAATGGAAAAAACTCTGTGAAAATAAACTTCAGCCTAACGAACAAAGATATCAACTGGCTCATGGTTAACTTCTCAAGTTTTAAACTAGCAAAAAACTGATGAACTTGTTACACTAAAAGCATATTCCGTGCAGGACGTGAGGGTTTATCAACAAGAATGCAGCAATATAAAACACACCTATGCATTCATAAACGAAAGAAAGATATCAAAAAAATGTTATGATATTAATAAAATTAGAGAAGTAGTTAAGTAGTGAATCCACCGACCTACACACCAATTCGCCATCCAGCAAATCATGCTCTTCAGTGCTGGCGAACGATACCCTCCCTCCAATGACAGCGCCGATGACGAGGATCAACCATGATAAACAGCCTTTCATGACAAAATTGTTAATATACAACTTTCATGTCCAATGAAATATGGCAAAAATCAACTAAACATTAACTATTAAAAAAAGAAAATTGACACTATTTTTAACAATAAAATTTTTTGAAACAATTCTCTTGGAAACAAAAATTTTGTAGAATAAAACAAGATTTAGTAAATGGACGTGTTCATGTGATATCTATAAAATTTCAAAGGTAGTCTCTAATGTTTGCTCATTGGATATTCAATATCGATAAGTTATTGCTTACCCTATATCTCCCAGTAGCCTAGATCAACTTTTTGTAGTCTTCGATGGAATAAACCATCAACTATTTCTAGAAAAATTATATAATATCAAAACTCTGACATCACTCTTTCCTGATTTAGCTCAGACTTTTTAAATCGTTAATTTTTAAAAATTAGCTAATAGGATTTTGCTTTTCTAGCTATCCTTCCCGACATCTATATATCCGGTGCCTCTAAAACCACGAATACGGCGCGATAAGGATAGTTCATTGAATAAGTAAATTGAACGTTTTCAACAATCAGTGATCTTGAAACCAACCTTCTTGAATGGCAATGTTTAATATATTTTGGTCAGCAGATTCGTTAAATGTTTGGCCAAATTGCTGAGATGCTTCGTCAAAAGCATGAACTAATAACGTGCAAGCTTCTTTGTATTCGTATCTTCCAATTGCAGCCACCTGAACGGAATACAATACAAATTTTATGAAACAGATAAAACATCATAACTTCTGTTTAACAGGTCATTACAAGAGATGAAACAGAGAAATTTATGAGGCTACTACACAGCAAACCTGATTTTTTTCACCTTTACTGTAATTTATGTACCTTTCCAACTCAACATAACTGACAAATTTGTAATATCTTTTTAATCAGCAAAAAAATTCTAGCTTAAGAAAATTATACCGTTAATCCATTGCTCACACGTGCAAAAAGAGATATTTCATAGAGACGTAAATCGTTTGTTATTTGTTTAAATTCGTGGAAAGGTAAATCATTTAATTTTTAAATTTCTAGCATATTCCAGCTAGGTACTTGTAAATAACATTTTTTTTGGAACAAATGAAAATCATGAAAATCTAAATATCCAAAAGAGTAAAATGTAGACTTTAAATTGATTAAGCGATTCTAACTAATTCAAGATGTTGAGAGAGAAATGCCTGATCTTCCAAAGGGTCATCATAATTTAATCTGCAATTTCATTTTAAATTATTTTAAATGTCGTAAAAACTTATTTTCAAAAACCAAATTCAAAGCTGAAACGTTTGAACTTCCTTTCATTTGTAATGGTCATTTTGACCCAATGTTAACAACGACTTATTTATCTATTAACAGTGACAAGAACCGATTCAGACTCGGCTCGGCTAGAGAAATATGAGAGACTTCATTAAAATAAATCATGATGTGTAAGGATGGCAAGATATTTGAATGTGCACAGTTGTAAAGGTACATTTGTAAATAAGGTGTGCCGTTAAACGGTGACGCTCAGTAGCTACATTGTGGTGAATACAAAAGCAACAAAATGCAATTAAAAACTACCCAGCATTACGCTTTATTAGTTCAATTCTTGAAAGAACAAAAATTTTAAAGATATCCGGCGTGAAAACTTCCAGCATGTGTGTTTCGGCTGTCTTTATGTAAGGTATTGGAGCTACCATCTTTTGCCAAAAACATAACAAATAATAACTACTGTTTGTAGGAAAATCCATCTGCAAATTAAATAACATAAATTGATTAAATAATTAATTAAATTTGATAAACTTGGTTACTTTTTAAAAAAAATTTTAGTAAGTAGATAAGATAAGTAGATACTTTTCTATGGGGACAGACCCAACCGAATGAGTAATTAATTCTTAAGACAGAAAAAAAGATAATCAAGATAAAATTTATAAACGCAAAATTAATTAAAATTTTAAAAAATCTTAATGGTATAATTAACATAATCAAATATGATTGAATATGAACTCTTATCCCATTCAATATAATTTAGTTCTATAATTTAAAAAAAATAATTCTGTTAATCAATAAGGAGATTTATAAATGATCCAACTACATTTATTGTAGTTCGTTCAATGAACAGTCGTATTTATCGGCAATGGAACAGTAAAACCTTATCCTAGCTTATACTTTTTGTCCATCTTATGACAGTTGGAAACTAACCTACCTTCGTCTCATAAGCCAAAATGAATAAATTCAAGTTACATTGCAACTTTTAGCTAAGGTGATCTGATGTAATAACCAACCTAAATTTGATAAACAATAAAAAATTATTTTTTTAATTTGAAAAAAAATTTAATTAAAATAAAATACCTGAAAACAGGATACAGTGAAATTAGCGATGGACTTTAAGAATTCTGAATAATCATTCATTTTCAAAAACTCGGTTAGTTGGAAATTCATTTTCAATCTGGCCAGAAATCTGCACACTTCATGATAAATATCTTGACTTTCACGTTCCTTAAACAAATTTAAACCATAATAGTGGAATCTTGTTATACACATAAAAAAAAGCATAGATAACATGATGACGGCGTTATAATGGATGAATGGTAAAGTGTTGCTTGGCCTAAGCAGCAGTGACCGAGTTCGAATACAACAGAAGCCAAAAGCATCATGTAAGTACTTGTAAGTACCAGGTTCAATCGAGGACGTTGTTCGTTCGTTAAACATTGAAAAACTTCATTGAACACATCAGAAAAGGCGCTTGGCAAATTTTAACTATTGAAATATTTCTTTGCATGCAATATTTTCACTGAATGAAAAGTCAAATACATGAATACGAGAGTAAAAGTGTGATTGGCAGATAGCATGATAGAGTTGATCAGGATCAGTGCTGGAGACGGGAAACGATTCAAATCTGGTTTAATTAGCGTGATAATAGGGATCTAGAAATAAAAATATAAGGCTTGTTTGGTAGATACCAATGAGAAATTGAAAAATATAGTGAACTTGAAAATAAAACAATATGATTAAAAAAGTATATTGAATAGATTTTCTGTTTAAGATTAACATCAAAAATATAACATTGGAAGAAAAAACATAAAACTGTAATTAATTAAAAGTTTATGCGCAAAAAACGCAAACTACATAAAAATTTTTCTTATTAAATTTTAAAAAAAACGTTAAACCTGGCATAAAGAAATGCATCGCTTCACTCCTTGACAAAGTTCCTGGAGATAATTCATGCGTTCGTTGGCATTGAATAAAGATCTCCTCAAAGAAGCCATTTGAACTAAACATTTCAACACCTGCAAATTATTCAGCGTGTATGTGTAAACTGTACTAATAATATTCTGATAAAAATTAACGACAAGAAATTAAATATAAAAAACTTGCAAGAATAAAACTTAATTAATGGATTGAAATCATACCAGGAATGGATAAAAACGCAAAAAATTTATTAAAATGTTAATTTAATTAACTCAAGAAAGAAAAAAAAATATCTAAATTGAAAAATCAATCAAAATTTAGGTTGTAGTAAATTTAATGAAACGAAATGGCACAAATTTTATCACACATCACGAGCATTGACTAACAGAAATTCTAGAATGAAAAAAGAAAAAAATTATGATGTGAATGCATCGGTTAATTCTGGTTAATAATAAGCATTCTGTTACATCAAAAATATATTATCATGAAAATTAATCCCATATCTTTCGAATTCTTGAAAAACTTGAAAGGGAAAACATACAAGTATTGAGAGCACTGTTGGAGTGTGATCAAGTAATGTAAAGAGTGCTTTCAGCAATGATTCACTCAAGAAAGCTGAAAATGATTATTTAAATTAAAATGTTAGCAGCGATGTAATTAATAAAACACACACACAAATACAAACACACAAATACACACACACATACATACTACATAGATCAATTTATTATATAGGTCACTAACAGCTTTATCCTAAAGCTGTTAATGAGTGAAGCGCAGAATAAAAATAATATGCTGTATGGAAAGAGAATCTACTAAACGTGCATTCACGTATATTTTGACTTTTGCATACACTTGAAAACTCTCAGTGCTCAATGGTTTCCAATGTATTCCATGGATGTTATTACATAAAAAATGTATTCTAAATTGAAACTCTTCAATCATTCCTTTACCATTTTAAAAGTCATATATAAAAATATAAAACTAACCAGATTTCCAATGTGTTGGAACTTGAATGGTGCTAACATCTTCACCTGATTCATCGGACAATGTTCCAATAAAGTCATATGATAAGCAATTAAACACCAACTGAAGACTTTGATTCAATAAGTTCAGCTTGAAAGAAATAGTAACTTCTATTGAAGCTTAGTATTCACATTTTTCAAAACGTAAAATTAATGATGCGAATGCATATAGAGCAATGGTTAACATAATATGGACGACTAGATGGTGCAATTGCTACAGAAAATGGTTCAGAAACCACTGAGTGCTGCGTCATTAAAATTCTATAACAAGTTTAACCATAAGAACAATTCAATAATTAAAAATATTTAATGGATTTAGTTTCTCAATTTATCATTTTGCAGTCTTTTTTATTAAATTATTAAGTCTTGTGATAATAAATTACCTTTATTTGAAATATTTGAAATAATTAGTCGATAGAGAAATAAGTTAAGTTAGAATTGAGAAAATAAAAATCATAATAGAATATAAAAAATATATATAATAAAATGGACGATGCATCAGTGAATTCCAACGCATCTCATCAGTGCATCACTCAATAAATGATTTTGTCATTAAGTTTCAACTTCTTTTAAAAACGCGTGTTTTAGAAAGAGGGATGAACGAGCATATCTAGTATGAAATGACAAAACCTGAAAACATGTAACATACGAAAAAGATATACGAAAGCATTCCATCTCAAAATTATAACTACTGCATTACGGGCCACCATGCCATAAAAAAGAAATTTAAGAGACAATTATAAAAACATTTGGAAGCATTTAAAAGCAGGATAGTTAATTTGATATCGTTTAAAACCATCCTTGTAAACTCTAATTACCCTTCAAAGTGGTGCTGAACAATTTTGAAGATTGTAATATCAAAACAACTTTTATGATCGAAATTAAAAGACCTAAGAAACATACCTGAGTTTGATCTGCAAAATTAATTTTGTCGATAAGAAGTGAGGCATTCTGGAGGAATGTGCAGCCCAATTTGAAATAATCAAAAAGCTGATGATCCCTGAATGAAAATGAAACCTTCTTGTGCCTGTTTGTCGTAATACCCTAGTAAAATGTTTTACATAAGTAGGTGGTATAAAATAACGACGAAAATTATGTCACAAATCTTGCAAAACACTGAACATGAAACGTGTTAACATATTGGTTTGAAAGGTATTTTCGTGGATAGAAGTGAAACAAAATTAAAGAATAATTGGCTGATTGATCAATAATTTTATCAATAAATTCAAACAGCATAATTTATCAAACATTAATATTTTTTACTGTAACCATCCATCAAGAAAATAGAAAATAAAGCATTAAGTAGTACAGATGAGTTTCTATACTAAATAAAACTTTTAGATTTGGACTATTGACCAGTATAAAAATCAATACCGTGTCAGAAAGATTATAGAAATATATTTTTACCATGATTCTTACCAGAGCGGATAAAAAATTTCTGACTCCAACTCTGCAACTGCTTGCTTATATACAGCTCAACCTTTCAAAAATCTCAAGTACATCATTAGAAACATAAACAGAAGCTGAAAGATTCTACTGCGTTTTGTCATTTACGCGTTTTTTCCTGCAACTAATATAAACCATCCCATTCATTTTCAAAGAGAATTGCCATTGTTATTATACGTAGAGTTTATATAGCGCCTATTCAAGTTCTCATGAATGCTTTATTCCATAAGTGCGCTTTTATTTTCTTTCTAAAGATAGTCTCTTCAATTTCATTGCCATGCAACATGTCAATACCGAAGAGGTATTCCACAGAATATAGTAACATGAACCAGATTTAAAAAAAATTAATATCTAATAGTTGATCTGACAACGTGAAATTGAAATTCTCCATCTTAAGACAATGAGTATATTTTATTAAAATAATAATGAACATTCTGCAATCAGCACGAATGGTTTCATAAACTAAAAAGCCTTTGATGGTTAGTATATACATAAATCTAAAAACTAAAATGTACAATAAACAAACAAATAACGAATGAATAAATAAACTAACTAACAAACGAACGAATGAATGAACAAATACACAAACAAACAAGCAAACAAACAAACCTCATCAACCTCATTCATCTCAGCAACCATAGAAGATAATATATAAACTGCTATAAACATATAGTGAGGATTGTTGGACTGAAAGAAAAAAAATTATAATTACACTTTTGTGTCAATAATTTTGATACAATTGAACACCTGTATGTAATAGTTGAGATCTCCAAGGACATTTCTAAATATGTAATTCTCTTCAACTGTATCAAACCAAGATAATTTAGTAATATGACAATATACCTGAGGATAAAAAAAAACAAAAAAAATTATACTTTAGTTCAAAATGCTATCCAAATAAAATTACTTTACTCGAACTATCGACTGTAAAACGTACGCTTCCATGTTTAGGCTATTTATAACATGATTCAAAACAAACGACTCTATGGAAAAAAGATAACAAATTAATAATAAAACTATTAATTAATTGCAACTGAAGTTAATGGAGGCAAAGGATTTAAAATATTATCAAATTGTATTCGTGAATTATGGAATTTGATCCATTGCAATATTGTTGAAAATGATGTATAACTTACGAATGTTCCTTTTGTGGCTTTTTGATAAATTATCATTTGATGATGTAACCAATTTGAGGAGAGTTTTAGCAGCCAGTAATTGGGAATAAACGGACTAGAAAAATAACATTTTAAACTAAATAATTAATCAATTAAACAATCAATCAATCAAATCAATCAACTTATTAATTAGTTTAATAATTAATTGAATTGAAGCTGTAAATTAAAACATACATTTCTTCTTTCCAACAATAAGAAACATTTATCACTGCAAGTTTTTGTGTTAACTAAATCTAGCAGAACTGAATCAGCTTCTGAGTAGAGGCATCTATCTTTGAAATTGTATAGATCATAGGCATGTAATTCTAGCTGCTGAATGATCTGCAGTTGAGAGAAATGTTAAAACACATTAATGTAATTACTATTTGTTTTCTTTCAGTTTTCATTTAAATGTATAATTAATTGTTCATTTCTGTGCTGACTCACACATCTGAGCCTCTGGAATAAAAAAAAATAAAAATCCACAGCCACGTAGGACTGATCAAACTCTCCATGTGACAACTGAATGTAGCAGTCACAGTGCTCTAAGTGGCATTTGGCTAATAATGTTTGTTAATAACTAATAACAGATAAGCTCAATTTAGAGTTGGTAGTTTGGTTTGAGTAGTAACATTTTCATATATGAATCCAATAAATTTAGTTATATTAGGTAGTAATATTTTCTAATTTGAATCCAATAAATGGGTAAATGACAGTAATATTTGACAGATCTGCACTTATTCTCCTCCCTAACTTCCAGAGACCTAAGATTTTAACCCAAGAATCACTGTTCCATACTCCGTACTACAAAAGTGTACAGCTACTTATCGGTCGGATTCCACTTTTGTTATGCCTTACGGAAAATTTGTTTTTTTCAAAAATTTCTCTAAACTTCCTGATAAAACTTACAAAATAAAAACAGAGATTCAGGTCTTAAAATCTTAAAAAGTACACTTAAGTTCAAAACATAAATGTTCACGAAATTGATAAAAAATCACTTTTGAAATTTATATATAAGTTTAACCATTGGTATACCATGCATATAGCAAAAAGAGAGATATCAATTATCCTTATCATCATCAAGATTGTTTGGTTTGACAGTGGCAATTCCATAGATTATATATAATATTATAATATATTATTAAAATAATTATTTTTTTAAGTCTATATAATAGTGAACAGAGAAATAAATGGCTAAAACTAATTAAATGACTAAACACACTAACTAAATTACTAAATTTACTAAACTAATTTGTAATGTAATGTAATGAAAGTCAATCGTACTGATTAAATTAATCATTAATAAATGAGACTCACTATTGACTATCTGTGTATTGAATATTGATTATATTTTCTATAGCTCTCTATATAATTAATATGATAAATATACTACTATACTATGAGTAAATAATTAGATAGATCTATATGTGATCATGATCATGATTTTATTATAATTATTGAATATTTATTTATTTAATCAATGATATAGTTAGTGATCAATAGATCTGATGCTGTTCTCAGCTCTAATCAGAGCACTGACATCTGACCACAATAGTAGGAGAAAGCATCAAGCAGTACACCCTATTTATCAATAAGTACTGTAGCTTTTTACTGAACCATCCTTTAAAACAATTATTTTTTAATAAACTACTAACTTGCAATTGGTCATTTTCCATCTTTATTTTTAAAACCTGCTAGGTGGAATTTAAAAAAAAATAAACGTTTGTAACGATAGTCTCACGGCATTAATCAAAAAGTAAATTGAATATAAAAAAAAATACTTATGGAAAGTTATTTTATCATGTACATGTTTTTTAACTTATATAGAAAATGTTTTTAACTACTTTTTTATTTATTTTTGTTTTATTTAGAATAAAATTCACAATAACTGAAAAATGTGACTAGATTTTAAAGTGCACTGAAAATGTGCGTAGGGGCATTCGAGGGCCTGTACAGTGTATAGGTACTCTAATAATACGGTTTTATACAAGGGGAGGCCTATTAACCAGCATACAACACCTTCTTATGAGTTGAAGCAGGGATATGCAAAGAACCTCAATTTTTTCAACTTTTAATTATTTTCAGTAATGTCTCCCCTTGCTCCAAACCACATAACTAGAATAATAGGACTAATCGATCAATTCGATCTATCGGTCGGGCTATTTGTCGGGCTTGGATTGTTGGTTTACGAAATTGCATGGATTTTAACGAGCAAGCTAACTGAAATATTTACTTGATTTAATATGCTTAAAACATTGTAGTAATTCTATTTAATTTTAATAATGATTAATAGAATTATGTATTATTAAATTATTTTTGTTAATTTGAATATAAAAATTGCTTTTGGTCCGGTGAAATCCGGTGGCTTACTAAGCCGAAGGGTTGGCTTAGTAGGATTGAACTATAGTCACCCTTTTTTTACACTATTCGATCATGTTAAAAATTGGTTTGCTTATGAAATAAACGGCCTAAATAAATCAAAATTGTTATTTGAACAACTATCTTCATTATATTCAATGAATATTTTACAATCTGCTGGTGCTCATAAGAAAATGGCTGCTGAAATCATACGTTGGCTTACAGCAGTGGCTTACAGGGTTTCATAGAACTCTTACGATAGCACTTTTTTGTACATATAATGCTTTAAATAAATCAATATATTCATATCACAATTATTTTTGTCAGTATAAATATAGAAATTGCTTTTGTCAGGTGAAAAACAGTGGCTTACTGAAGCCGTAGGTTGGCTTAATCGGATTTTTTCTCATGTATACAATACTATGAGATAAATCATTCAAACAATCAAACAATCAGTCAGTCGGGCGGTCGGTCGGTCAGCCAGCCAGCCAGCCAGCCAGCCAGCCATATATGTGTATATATATATATATATATATATATATATATATATATTTATATATATATATTTACAATATTCTATAAATTCTACCGAATGTTTGGCGTTAATATGTTCGTAGTTCGTTTTTTCGATTTTTCTCACTAAAGTTTTTTGGTGAACGTTTAGTTTATTAAAATTCAAAATACACTTATTTTTTGAATTCATGCTGCAAATAAGGCCATATTTCGATTCCGAATGAATGATCGTCAGTGCTCCTTGTTGTATATATAGGGAAATATTGACTTTGTCAAGATTAACTTTGACGTTGTAAAAATTAACTTTGGTGTTGTAAAATTGAACTTTGATGCGAATTAGGTGTCAGGTTTCTTAATTGGTCTCCTTTTCTTCATCGATAGCATCATATTCTTCTTTGTCACTATTTACGATGCTAGTTTTAGAAATTGAACTATAACATTATGTTGTATGAATTATTCTTTACAACGAAAACAAAGAAGTAATAAAAACTAGCATCGTAAATAGTGACAAAGAAGAAAATGATGCTATCGATGAAGAAAAGGAGACCAAAGAAGATGCCAGCCAATAAG